TGTGTCTATCTGTGTCTTGTGTGTCTCATGTGTCTCTCTGTCTCGTGTCTCTCTCTCATGTTTTTGTCTATCTGTTTCATGCGTGTCTCTCTGTCTCGTGTGTCTCATGTGTGTATCTCTGTCTTGTGTGTCTATCTGTGTCTCGTGTGTGTCTCTCTGTTTCATGCATGTCTCTGTCTTGTGTGTCTCGTGTGTGTCTCTTTCATGCGTGTCTCTCTGTGTCTTGTGTCTCTGTGTCTCATGTGTGTCTATCTGTCTTGTGTGTCTCATGTGTGTCTCTCTGTGCCTCGTGTGTGTCTATCTGTGTGACTCTCTGTGTCTCGTGTCTCATCTGTCTTGTGTGTCTCTCTGTTTCATGCGTGTCTCTCTGCCTCCTGTGTCTCATGTGTCAATCTGTCTCGTGTGTCTCTCTGTGTTTCGTGTGTCTATCTGTCTTGTGTGTGTCTCATGTCTATCTGTGTCTCGTGTGTCTCTCTGTCTCATGTGTGTCTATCTGTGTCTTGTGTGTGCATGCGTGTCATGCGTGTCTCTTTGTGTCTCTTTGTGTCTATCTGTGTCTTGTGTGTCTCATGTGTCTCTATGTGTCTCTCTCTGTCTCGTGTGTCTCATGTGTGTATCTCTGTCTTGTGTGTCTATCTGTGTCTCGTGTGTGTCTCTCTGTTTCATGCATGTCTCTGTCTTGTGTGTCTCATGTGTGTCTGTCTCGTGTGTCTCATGTGTGTATCTCTGTCTTGTGTGTCTATCTGTGTCTCGTGTGTGTCTCTCTGTTTCATGCATGTCTCTGTCTTGTGTGTCTCATGTGTGTCTGTCTCGTGTGTGTCTCTTTCATGCGTGTCTCTCTGTCTTGTGTCTCTGTGTCTCATGTGTGTCTGTCTCGTGTGTGTCTATCTGTGTCTTGTGTGTCTCATGTGTGTCTGTCTCGTATGTGTCTCTCTCATGTTTTTTCTATCTGTTTCATGCGTGTCTCTCTGTCTCGTGTGTGTCTCATGTGTGTATCTCTGTCTTGTGTGTGTCTCTGTGTCTCATGTGTGTCTGTCTCGTGTGTCTATCTGTGTCTTGTGTGTCTCATGTGTGTCTCTCTGTGCCTCGTGTGTGTCTATCTGTGTGACTCTCTGTGTCTCGTGTCTCATCTGTCTTGTGTGTCTCTCTGTTTCATGCGTGTCTCTCTGCCTCCTGTGTCTCATGTGTCAATCTGTCTCGTGTGTCTCTCTGTGTTTCGTGTGTCTATCTGTCTTGTGTGTGTCTCATGTCTATCTGTGTCTCGTGTGTCTCTCTGTCTCATGTGTGTCTATCTGTGTCTTGTGTGTGTCTCTGTTTCATGCGTGTCTCTTTGTGTCTCATGTGTGTCTATCTGTCTTGTGTGTCTCATGTGTGTCTATGTCTTGTGTGTGTCTCATGTGTGTCTATCTGTCTTGTGTCTGTCTCATGAGTGTCTCTCTGAGTCTCATGTGTGTCTCTGTGTTTCTTGTGTCTCTTGTGTGTCTATCTCTGTCTCGTGTGTGTCTATGTCTGTCTCGTGTGTCTCATGTGTGTCTCTCTGTGTCTCTTGTGTGTCTATCTCTGTCTCGTGTGTGTCTATGTCTGTCTCGTGTGTCTCATGTGTGTCTATCTGTGTCTCATGTGTGTCTAATGAGTGTCTCTCTGTGTCTCGTGTGTCTCAGGTCTCCAGGCTGGTACTCTGCGTTTGTCTCCTCCAGTGAACTGTCCTGCTCACGTCTGCAGTCTGATGAGCCGCTGCTGGGCGTCCAGCCCTAAAGAACGGCCCACGTTCAGTGAGATCCTTCAGACTCTGACTGATTCCTCCACAGACACCAAAGTCTAGAGGATCACGACTGCAATCAGAGACCCAATCACACACATTTCAGGCGTGAGAGTCTGCTTCGAGACACGCTTCTGTCCCATTAATGATCTGTTTACACTAATGTAGAAGCTCCTTCCTCTCGCTGGAGCCTCAGGGACTCCGAGGATGACCTTTGACCTCTGCAGCGCTGGACAATCGCAGATCCATCAGGTTACAGACGCAGGACGAGGTGCTGCACACATGATGCTGGAATCACGTCATGCCTGCGGTTCACGTCACGCACTGGAATCAGCAGTGTGTACAGAGTGTGTGTGTGTGTGTGTGTGTGTGGGAGTATGAGTGTGTGTGTGTGTGTGTGTGAGAGTATGAGTGTGTGTGTGTGTGTGTGTGAGAGTATGAGTGTGTGTGTGTGTGTGTGTGAGAGTATGAGTGTGTGTGTGTGTGTGTGTGAGAGTATGAGTGTGTGTGTGTGTGTGTGTGAGAGTATGAGTGTGTGTGTGTGTGTGTGTGAGAGTATGAGTGTGTGTGTGTGTGTGTGTGAGAGTATGAGTGTGTGTGTGTGTGTGTGAGTATGTGTGTGTGTGTGTGTGTGTGTGTGTTTTCACAGGATGATGTCTTGTCACAAAACAAATCGTTAATGGAATTCAGTCACTTGTATTTGGGAAACTGAGAGATTAATGATGAAGTTAGAGACTGACATACAAAGCTATAATACGATTAACAAATATTCACTAATTAACACGTGTGTGTGATGAAAGAGAGATTGTTCTTAATGATAATAAGATCTTTATGTTTCTCTGAGGTGCTCACTGGTGACTGTGTTATTGTAATAAATAAATATGCAATGCCTCAGATTGCGAACATTTCTAAGCCATGATTAATCACATTTTATTGTAATTCCCAGTTCACTGTCCGTCTCCACAAAGTCCTTCTGGATTGTTTTTCTCAAACACACGACCAGCAAACTGAGATGATACACAAATTACACTTAAAACTTAAGGTGTCATGTTGATGTGTTGTGATTATTGATGTAGATCAGCGGTTCTCAACCAGGTCCAGTAGCATTAAAACAGCATAAAATCAAGCTATTTCTAATTTTAATTCACCACTTAAACAACTGTTTTTGTCTATTAAGAACCAGAAAGGAAGACATGATTATGTGAGGAACACTGATTTTAAAAGTGTGATTTCTAAACCTGGAAAACTCATGAAAATTAATCAAATGTTAAAACATTTGTATATAACGAATGTGCATTTTACTAGTTTTACTAGGCTAGAAATATTTTATCAGGTCGACATTATGAGTACAACAATGAACAAAAACCTATTCCAGTGGATCACAAATGACTGGAAAAGTCACGTAAATTCATTGGTTTAAAACAGCAGGAACCCTGAAGAACATTCAGCTCCTGAAACTTCTGGAAACCACAAATTGAATGCACAGAAACCAGGAGTGCCCATAGATCAAAATAAATAATAACTTTTGCATTCCAGCAGATATTATTGTGACTGGAGTGATGAAGGTTGAGAAGCGCTGATGCATGACGTCGTTTGAGGACTGCGTGAGCTTTGATGAAGGTTTTGTGTCTCTGTGATTTTAATCTCCCGCAGCAGAAACACGTCCTGCACTGTTTGCTCTCTGTGGTTTTCATCAGGTGCAAAGATAAAATCAACTTTGTTTTTTACAACTAAGAGTGCCTAGAACATGAAGGACTTATTGGCTGTTTTTTTTACAGTATCTTTTGTAATGCAGTTAATGCTTGTTGTTTTTAAGAACTGCTTTTATATAATCGTTTCATATGTATTTTTATTATTGTTGTTGTTGTTTGTTTTTCATCTCTGTGGTCATCGTCTGTTCATGGTTATTTTTAAGGCAGGCTCTCACACAGTAATGCTTTTATATTCTGCTTTATAAAGGTCACAGTAATCCAGATGTAATGCTGCTCTCATTAAACAGTCACGTTTTTAACAGCCTTGATGTTTCTGTGCTGCATAAAATCAACTGTTTTAAGAATCCGTTCTGTTTCTCCATGTATAATTAGTCAAATGATGCCCCTTCCCTGACCAAAGAAGTACTGTGATGGGATTTCCACCGTTTTTAAACGCTGCTTGATCTGTGCAGATTTCTCTCCTGATTCACACCAGAACACTTTTTCACTGGAGGAAGAGTTATTATGGATTATACACTCAATGTATTTGAGTTAAAAACGTCTTAATGATGGATTTGTCTTCTCGAGAAGTTAACTGATGGGCTACATCTTGGATGAGCACATTTTCAGTTTTGGCTGAACGACTCCTTTAAGTTTCAGATCTCTGCATGTAAAGGCCAGCAGAGGGCGCTGCGTGTGAGAGACAAAACCCCAACCAATCCAACAAAGACTTTTCCAGTAGAGCACAGAGTTCGGATTATTTGCATTGCTTGACAGATTTCACAGCCGATTTGAATCACTTTTGATCTGAGATGTTTTGATGTAGTTTGACTGCTGTGTGTGAATGCATTTCCTTTCTCGGTTCTTTACACTATAGACTCTAGTATAGTATAGAGCAGTGTTTCCCAACCTTTTTTTAGTCGCGGCACCCTTTGGAAATTTTAACAAACTTGTGGCACCCTACAAAATTAATTTTGTCACAATATTTTAATTTCTAACTTCGATATGATAATTTGAAAAGTATAGATATTCGGTACAACAGGGAAGAACTGCAGAATATAATGCCATACAGATATTTTTAATATTATT